TTCTATTTATTTATTTCATTTAGTGTTGATCTCTAAACATTTTAAACATATTACAATTTACGAATATAATTTAGTTTTCGCCAAAATTACAATTTAAATATCAAATTTGTAATTTCGCCAAAATTACAATTTACGCCAAAATTACAATTTAAATATCAAATTTGTAACAAAATTTTACGCATGACGGATATAGTCGTCATGACACAAAATTCTGCCACATCTTCATGACGGATATAGTCGTCAAACACACTTAAACGGTTAATAGTACATACAATTTTCCAACAGTAAAAATTACATTTTATAAACTTTTTTTAGAGTAGTTAGCAATCCACATAGGGCGATTAATGTGTACAACACATTAAAATGGGTAAAAAATTAATGTAAAGTATTATAGTGTACCTTTTTATATAACCTAAAATCTATTAACAAATGGCTAAAACAATTGCTCGTAAATTGGAAAAGATCATTTCGAAAAGTAAATGTGAACCATGTTAATGTAAATAATTTTGTTCGTTTGTTTCTTTTCTTTTGACTCCACATACATAATTATGATGAAATCTGTATGCACCAATATTATACGATCAGCTTGTCCCGTAAGTAATGCGAGTACACCCAGAGTTTGACACTGAAGTAATCAAATACCGCGGTTCCAGTAGTGTTTCAGAATCTGACACTGTGAATAAATTTATTCGAGCTACAAGTGAATTATGACTGTTCACTATTAGAAACTGGTGGTCTACAGACCAGGTGTCTCATGCGAATTCGAATGTGTATTTACAACTTAAAGTACATACTATAAACATGTATGTAGATCAATAGTGGGATGTAGAGATTTTAAAGTTGCTTCAAACAATTGAACTTGTCAAACTATCGAAAACGATACGAAACATAATTATTTTTGATTTCACGTCGACTGATGTCAATGACGAGCACGTATTGTCATCAACAATGCCTTACAGAATATTTAACGTGTTTCTAGCTGATTCTATAAGTCGAAAATTATCGGAAACGAAAAAAAAACACGCCTTTTTATCGATTCGGGAAAGATGGAATTCTAATAGTTACTTCTTTTTAATATAACTACACCCAAATTTAAATAACAGAAAAAATATTATCTGCATATTGTGTCCTTTGTTCCTAAAAATTTTATCTCATAAGCATTATCGTTCTTTAGACTTGGAATATGCTCTATGTAGAATTTTATACTCTTTTCATCCAAAAGTTCAGTAAAAAAGGAGAATACAATAAAAAGAATATTTATATTTTTTTTAAATTGATAATATGAAGTTTCATAGTTTCTAAATTATGTAGATTTTAACTTTCCGATTTTATAAATTTGTAAATCATCATATAAACATAAAAGTGAATTCCACGTGACACAATTGAACTGACCAAATCTGTTTCAAGCAAGTTGTCCTACTGTGCCCCTGATGTTATGCGTCTTTAATTATATATAACAGGGGTGGCCAAGTTCCTTGATAGTCAAAGCCATTTTTCAAAGTTTGAAATGTTTCGCGAGCCGCAATTTTCGATGGCGCAGTTTTCGATGAGTCATATTATTCTTAACTTGGACGGAAATGAAATTTGTTTCAACGTTGCACTTAGTCTTTCATATTTGTCGTCAGTAATTTTGAAACACATATGGAACGATAATAATTTTTTAAAATATAATAGCACAAAAATGAAAAGGGAACTTGGTACATTTATCGAGAGCCACAAATAATCCTTCAAAGAGCCGCATGTGGCTCGCGAGCCGCAGGTTGGCCACCCCTGATATATAATATAAAATATACACACAATGCAGATATTAGGAGGTTTAGAAACGGTGAAAGTCTTTAAAATAATTGTATTTTTAGAGAAAAATATATGAAAACGTCATCACCAACTATTTAGCTTATATTTTAACTTATAACTAATGCGTCTATAGGCCAACTGCCTCACGCGAATTTTAATGTATATTTTAAATTCAGAGTACTTATTGTAAGCATATAGCTAGAACAAAAATGAGTAGTAGAGATTTCAAAGTCGTTCCGCGCGACTAAACATGTCTGAAACTATCAAAAACGAAACAAAACTCGATTCTTCTTGATTTCACGGCGACTGACGTCAATGGCGACCAAATATTGTCGTTAGCGATAAATTATAGAGCTTTTAACACGCTTCCAGACAATTCTATGTATTAAAAATTAACGAAAACGATACAAAAACACGGCTTTTTATCGATTCGACAATGATCGACGTCAGTGGCGACAGGTTTCTGTTGTCAGATTACCGCCAAAGTCTACGAGGTCTGTTCCAAAAGTATCCGCCCTTCCTTCATATTTCCCTGCTGGTGTTATCCTGCGTCATCAGGCTGGTTTTCGATTCCTTCCAGGCATTCCTTCGAAGTAGTCCCCATTTAATTGTAGAATACTCTGCCAACGACCTTCCCACTTATGGAAACAGTCCTGGAACTCGTTTTTCGGAATAGCCTTTAGAGCTTTCGTTGTATTAGTTTCGACCGTTTCTTTATCGTCGAATCAGTGTCCTTTGAGTGGCATTTTCAATCTTGGAAACAACCAAAAATCGCAGGAAGCTACATCAGGACTGTACGGAGGCTGCCGGAGCTGTATGACTTTGTGCTTCGTCGAATATTGCTGCACAAGATTCGATGCATGCGCTGGCGCGTTATCGTGATGAAGAAGCCAATCACCGCTTGACCAAAACTGAGGCCAAAACTAGTTTTCGGTATTCCAAGATCATATTCTAGTTCTCGCACAGTCAAACGACGATTTTTGTTGATCGCAAGTCGCACACGTTCGATATTATTAGGTCTTGTTTTCGTGGATGGCCGCCCAGAGCGTGGGTTACTATCAACAGATGTGCGGCTACCTTTGAACCGCTCATACCACCCTTTGATTTGTGTATTGCTGATATACTCATCCCCAAATGCCTTCTTCATCATATCAATGGTTTCCGGACAACTCTTTTCGAGTTTTAAGGAAAATTTGATGCAAATTCGTTGCTCCGATCCTTCCCTCATTTTTTACAGCAGCAGAATGCGACGAACGTATAAAACGCTTCCTAAACAAATACACGTTCCACATGAACTAAGGCGTCCCGACGAAAACTGCGATATCGTGGGAGTTCGTAAAGCTTTGCAGTTGATACTGATACCCGGCAAATGACGCTAAAATTGTCAGGTGCGAAGAAATTAAAGAAGGTCGGATACTTTTGGGACAGACCTCGTATACTGTAAATTTAAGGTATTTCACGAGTCTAGACTCGAAATTTCAAGACAAAAGACTAGAAATAATGGTTTGTAATGTAGTATGGACAAACAAAGACAAATGAACAAATGTAAATTCAGTTGTTTCAGTGGCCTCAACGTTCGACAATTATACCGAAAATGTGCCGCTTATAATGAAAGTAGAGCAAGTGCATTTTTGAACAAAACTTCATGCGTTATATTCTTCAGTGAAATGAAATGAAAGAACGTAAAACATAGAGGAAATTAAACTTCGTTCAAAAATGGAATTGTCTTACTTTTATTGTAAGCAACGCAAATGTTATAATGAAAATGGTAATTAAATATATTGATTTCAAAGATTTCAAACTAGAATTCTGAATTTTCAACGTAAACCTGATTTTTCTAAAACTCAAAATTCTTTAAGTTCTCAAATTTGGAAAATCTACAATTCTTAATTTTAAAGATTTAGAAATAGTAAAGTTATTGAGTTCTAAAGTTGCAATATTTGGAAGATATATAATTCCAAATTTATGAAATTCTGAACTTTTAAGTTACAAAGTTAGCAGATTCCAAAATACTAAACTTTACAAAATAAGCTATTTTAGAATTCGATAATAAAGGATTGAAAAATTACGAAATTACACAGTTGCATAATTCTACAGTTCTACAATGCATTCCAAAATTCAACAATTCGGAATTTTAGAGCAACACAGTTTGAAAACTCAAGAATTATAAAATTCCAAACTTATCAAGTTACAAAATTCTAAAATTCTAAAATTCTAAAATTCTAAAATTCTAAAATTCTAAAATTCTAAAATTCTAAAATTCTAAAATTCTAAAATTCTAAAATTCTAAAATTCTAAAATTCTAAAATTCTAAAATTCTAAAATTCTAAAATTCTAAAATTCTAAAATTCTAAAATTCTAAAATTCTAAAATTCTAAAATTCTAAAATTCTAAAATTCTAAAATTCTAAAATTCTAAAATTCTAAAATTCTAAAATTCTAAAATTCTAAAATTCTAAAATTCTAAAATTCTAAAATTCTAAAATTCTAAAATTCTAAAATTCTAAAATTCTAAAATTCTAAAATTCTAAAATTCTAAAATTCTAAAATTCTAAAATTCTAAAATTCTAAAATTCTAAAATTCTAAAATTCTAAAATTCTAAAATTCTAAAATTCTAAAATTCTAAAATTCTAAAATTCTAAAATTCTAAAATTCTAAAATTCTAAAATTCTAAAATTCTAAAATTCTAAAATTCTAAAATTCTAAAATTCTAAAATTCTAAAATTCTAAAATTCTAAAATTCTAAAATTCTAAAATTCTAAAATTCTAAAATTCTAAAATTAAAATATTAGTAAAACTTTACAGTAAAACTGTAAAACTAAAATTACAAAGCTGTAATATCTCAGGATTTCAGACTTCCAATATTTCTACCTTTCAGAATTCCAAAATGTCAAGGTTCGAAAATAGTAAAATTCAAAAATTCAAAAAGCTCAATGTTTGCATCGATTGCTTACATTTAGAACCATATACCTTCCAAACACTTGAAGCTCCTAATCATTTTAACTCAGCACTGCTAGAAAAATTCAGTTTTAATTTCTTAACCCACAAAACAAAAGTTTTTAACATCATAAAAGTATTTAACTATCATACTAGAAAATACGTTTGCCAACTCCTAACTCATGGAATAACCTGAAATTTATTCATTGTTACGATTAAATGTTTTACTATCGTATGTTGCACCATACATCGTTTAATTATTTTAACAGCGCTATCCGGCTGACCGGTCCATTCGTCACCATGGTCTACAGCATGATAACCGGCGACATGTTGACCTTCGGAATAATCTACATGGTTGTGCTGTTCGGTTTTTGCCAGTCGTTCTACTTTTTGTACAAAGGCTTTCCAGGAGTGAAATCATCCCTCTATAGTTCCTATCACTCGACATGGATGGCACTGTTTCAAGTAACCCTCGGCGATTATAACGTAAGCCCCTTTATAAATCAACGTTTTATTCCCCTGTCGTGGTTGTTTCCACCACACATGCACACACGCTTCTACGCACGTAGCTCTTCTACATTTTTTATTCACTTTTTCCCGTTCCTCTGACAAATCTTTCTTCAGAGATCTATTAGATTTTCTAAAAAGTTTATTTATTAATTTTCTTTCTTGTCTAATTTGATTTTAAAACGAAATGATTAGATTCCCTTTTTTACTGTGTTTTAATTTTTGCTAGATCATCATCAGGTTTTATTTATTTTTCGTACATTTTCTAAAAACAATATTGCTTAATAATATTAATAGTTATTAACAATAAAATTGTAAAAATAGTCAAATTATACTTTTACAAATCCCTTAATTTAATTTATATTAACTTAATAAAACCAATTTATTGTGTTGGTTTTCATCGAGATAAAGAATTATGTATACTAATTTATGTTTTGAGAGAAATTTTATAAACGCCAATTCCTGGCTTGTCTACAATGCTGAGGTTCTACAGTCCCTGGTCATTGAATTAGGACCACGTACGAAAATTTGTTTAGGTCATGCAAAAGTATTACTAAATACATTGATAATGATATATGCATAGAAATTGATTTATTACTATCATCATAATCGTCAAATTGTGTGAATGAAAAACGATTAAGAACCGTGCAAGCGTTTACATTAGACTCGAATATTGATAGCGTGCCAGGTGAAATTTGCTGTAGAAAATGCCTGAAGCCTACTTAAAAGACTCGTTTACAACTCACCAACCGCATTATCTGAAAATCTATCTAATATATTTTGAAAAAAATTACAAATTTTTTGGAAAAGAATGAAGATATAAAGCATCAATGAATACAGAACACACCAGATACAAGCTGTGACCAAAGGGTAGAAATACAAGATATTAACATGTATTAGTAATACTATGTACAGTAGTAGTGTATCATGTTAGTAGCTAATAAATTATATAATTACAATCCGAACAGGTCTTTTAATTTTATGGAAAACGTGTAATATGATGAAAATTTATAGTGATCCTAATTCGATAACCAGGGACTGCATATTATAGATGGCTGATGCATATGGAAATTTAAGCGTCAGCCATTTATGGATAAGGTGGTAGTCAAAGTATTCATATAATCTATTCCTTATTTTTACGAGTGGAATATATTGGTAAAAATTCTGTAACACCTTATTTATATGTACATATTAAGATTTGTATTTTAGCTCCTTCATAGGTACTTACCTCTCCATATAGCCTCTAAACTGTTATCGTACCGATCGAATTTCTCGCCTAACCGGTTTAACGATGGGTCAATATTTTTATCGCTACTGCATGTTCAGCATGTCATTTTATGATGTCACCCGTTTGTCAGGTTTGACAGGTTTCATATCATACGATCACAATCGTGCTGAACACGTTGGAAGGAACAATGTAACGGAGTTCGAAAAAAAAACGGATTTTTCATCAATTATTTTTGTGATTATTGAAATTAGTACACTTATAAATTTACACTTTTTTAATGTATATTGTACAAAACGATATTTAATTATAATTGACAATATTTTTTTATAAAATATACATATTTAAATCGAATATGAATCGTTATAAAATCGAAAGGAGATTGATAGTTTATTCAATGTTAGCTTCATTGATAAGAGAAATAAAATTCAGTTGTTTTTTAAGTCCGCCTTAGCGCAGTTTCTTTCTTAATATTCCTTAATTAAATATATTAAATTAAATTGATCAGATATATTAAAAATTGATCAGGATTACGTAAGCAGTATGAAAATCTTATTTTTCAGAATAACGTGTTTAAAAATTAAACTTTAGTTATAAATGAAAGACTTCTAAAAGTATGTTAGTATTTTCTTTCATTAATTCCTTTCATCAAGGAGTCCACATTTAAATAATGTTTGGGGTTTCAAAGAAACTTTCAACGGTAAAAAGAACATCTTTTCAGGAAAAAAAATATTAATAATATAGACAATAAAAAATGAGAACAAACAAATACTATTATATTTTTGTTCCTATTGTAATCTTGTTTCAGTTATTTTTGTGGTCTCCTTCAAAAGTCAAATAAGCACTCACATTTATTTTTTGATAATTATAAATCTATAAAACATGGACTAAAATATTTTAAACAAAAGTTTAACAATACAAGTACCATAAATATATATTAACAGAATTTTGGGAAGCCTATATCAAAACTGATTTTTAACAAAAAATTTGTTTAAAAGTTTGGTTGATGAACACTCGTCACGTTAATTGCACTATTAAAATTTTTTTTGAAACAGTTTTCAGTATGCTTGATACCTTAAAAGTTACACTTGAAAAGGTTTAAAAAACAAAAATTTCAAAACACATTATTCCAAGCTGGAATAAATTTATTTATTACTGTTCCTCTTGTTTAAAATATTAATTTAAAATTTTTATAAATAATTCGATTTTAAATTTCCAAATTTTATTACTTCTTTTTTAGAATGTAAGTTTTAATTTTTGTCAATTGATTTCTGTGAAATTCAACAAAATCAGTGCCTTGTATATAAATAGCAAATTTGAAAGTTTTCTGATGAAACATTTTGAAATTATAGAGCAAATTAAAGATAAACACGCACACACATACTCTGAGAAAACGTAATTGATTAACTAATACTTTTTCAATACTTTTTTTTTATATATTAAACTCTCCGCTATATTCAGTTGCACATGTGCTGAATAAAATAGTATAATGTAAAATATTTGTATTTTTCCAACAGAAATAAATAAATTCACAACTAAAAAAATTTATTAAACACGTTCTTATTTTTCATAGTTAAAATCTTTTACTGTGTCATTTTTAAGATTATATTATACATATGTATATTATCTCATTTTTCTTTAAATATCTGCTTTTAATAAAAAATGGTTTTTTACTGCTATTTTCTATTTTTTAGCATTTGTAGGCGTTTCAAAATGTATTATTTCTATGAATTAGGAAAGCGCTATAACAAAGTATTAGGCAAATTTAGTACTTTAAATTCAAAAGTAATGATGATATTCTGAAGATCTCATTTCATTATACAAAATCATTCATTTTTTCAAACTAGTTCCACACTTAAATGATTTAAATTCACATTAAACAAAAGTGGATGCTACTTACATTCTGATATTTTCCACCCTCAAATACTAAATTTTATTGCATGAAACCGAAAGAGGACAGCAATCTTTCTTACAAGAAAATGCTCTAAAATATTATTTTGATTTTGCGACTAACGACTGATATATTTCTGTTGGTTTATTGCAAGCTAATAGATTAACTGTCAATGCAGAAATGAATTATGTTGAGAAACACTAAATATTTATTTCCAATAGACTAATCGTAAAAATAATAGATACATATTGAACACCGGATTTTTCTACTTGCGTTTGATCGCAACTTCATCTGTGCATTTCGCACATTAAAAGTCTTTCTTCCGAGTCAATTTACCAATAATAAAATTCCCATAAAAATCAAATAAAAATTTCATTGAATTACAATCAATTTTCAATAATTTCATTTTACGCGTTACAGACAGTTGCCTCAGAATAATCTTCGCATAAGATGAAGCGGGGTAAATTCGTAAAGGGAGAAAGTGCGTATACAGACTATTTTTCTCACAATACGAGCGAAATTTCTTCATTTAGTATGTTTGTTTCCTCGTTTTATTTCACTGTATTCCCTTTTATGTTTCAGCTAAGAGTTTATAACAAAGTATTAGGCAAATTTAGTACTTTAAATTCAAAAGTAATGATGATATTCTGAAGATCTCATTTCATTATACAAAATCATTCATTTTTTCAAACTAGTTCCACACTTAAATGATTTAAATTCACATTAAACAAAAGTGGATGCTACTTACATTCTGATATTTTCCACCCTCAAATACTAAATTTTATTGCATGAAACCGAAAGAGGACAGCAATCTTTCTTACAAGAAAATGCTCTAAAATATTATTTTGATTTTGCGACTAACGACTGATATATTTCTGTTGGTTTATTGCAAGCTAATAGATTAACTGTCAATGCAGAAATGAATTATGTTGAGAAACACTAAATATTTATTTCCAATAGACTAATCGTAAAAATAATAGATACATATTGAACACCGGATTTTTCTACTTGCGTTTGATCGCAACTTCATCTGTGCATTTCGCACATTAAAAGTCTTTCTTCCGAGTCAATTTACCAATAATAAAATTCCCATAAAAATCAAATAAAAATTTCATTGAATTACAATCAATTTTCAATAATTTCATTTTACGCGTTACAGACAGTTGCCTCAGAATAATCTTCGCATAAGATGAAGCGGGGTAAATTCGTAAAGGGAGAAAGTGCGTATACAGACTATTTTTCTCACAATACGAGCGAAATTTCTTCATTTAGTATGTTTGTTTCCTCGTTTTATTTCACTGTATTCCCTTTTATGTTTCAGCTAAGAGTTCTTGTTTGCAGTATAGAGTACTTGCATAATGTAGTAAAAAGCATTTTATACCAGATTTGTTAATAATTCTGCTCTTGCCCCATTGCACATGAAATAAAGCATCAAAGTATTTAACTTCAAGTTACGCTCTTACCCCATTTTCGGGGAAAGTGCAGAGTAGTTGACATTTTAAACAATTTCCTAGCAAAATCAAAATGTACAAGGAAAATTAAGGTCCTAGTTAATATTAATTAAATAGTAGTAATTGTGCAAAGCGTTCGATATCGACAGCGTTAAATATTTACATAGCAGACTGAAAATACTTACGTTTAAATACCAACTTTACAAAAACCAGTCTATACTTACTCCACTTCACCCTACGTTGTAAATGTCAAAAGTATTATTTGGTAATTTACCAGTTACTGGCAGAATGAACAAGTTCAATACGTCTTTATGTCTTTTCCCTTATTGCCAATTTCCGTTTGAAGCGACCAGTTTTCGGCGAAAAAAAAGGGTTGACAATTTTAATTACAACACGCATCGTAGTACACATGGTCGTCTTCACAATGGACGTGGACAGTAAATAACATTCACGAAACGTCCGGTAAAAATCATTGCTCGGTTTTACGGTTCGCCTAACGATTTGGTGAAATGCGTTGAATTAAAAACCAGAGGAACGGGGTTGCATGCGGATTTCCGGTTGAAAATCCACGAAACGATTCTGATGGCCATGCACTTGCTCGTGACACGATTTTTTTTGTCGATCCGCTGCACCGCGTACACTTTATTTTTCAAGCTGCTTAATCGTTCGAGTATAGATATACCGAAGTATGATATACTTGTTCTATTGTGTACATGAAAAATAGCAATTATTATGTTCTTCTAGAAGCATGAGAGTTCAAACATTGATGAGAATATCATACTTTATTATTATTTCTAATTATTCATAGTCGACTATTCTGTTTTAATAATAACTTTTTAATTTTTCAGATAATTTATATGATTTGCTAAAAAATCTGTTCTTGAAAAAGTTGATCTTTGTATTAAAAGATTGATATTTCGATTATTGTTAAAATTTTTTTGGGCTCAATAGTTCTATAGTTAAATGGTGTGGCAGTTAAACTGCTAAAGAGTCAAATGGTAAAGCAGTGAAATAGGTAAATAATGAAATGGTGAAATAGTTTAATAGATAACCTATCAGTGAATCATAGTGGAATAGTTGAACCGTGAAACATTGAAACAGTAACATAACTAAATAGTTAAATAGTGAAACAACTAAATAGCAAAATAACCAAATGGCGAAACAAATAATTCAGAAGTCAAACGATAAAATAGTTGAGTAGATAAATAATGAAATGTTGAATCAACTAAATAGCTAAATAGCCAACAGAGAAACGGTGAAGCTGCTAAATACCTAAATAGTCAAATGATGAAAGATTTAAATAGCTACGTAGTCAAATGATAGGACAGTTGAATAGCTAAATATTTAAATGGTGAGACAGTAAAACAGCTAAATGATAAAATAGTTAAATAACTAAATAATTAAGCAGTGTAACTGCTAAATAACTAAATGGTTAAATGAAACAATTAAATAGCTTAAACAAAATAAAATATTAGGTTGTTCGGAAAGTAAATTCGTTTTTTCTCAACACAGGATTTAATTGTATTTTTTTACAGCTTCACATTTAAGCCGCAAATCATTATACATTTTAACAACTGATATAGCAAGGCATTTTTGTGAAAAATTTCCACTGATTCTATTCTATAGTTTTTGGTTGGTGCCCCATCAAATATGGAAAGAGAAAAGCAGCATTTACGGCATATTTTACGTTTTTACTATTGTAAAGGTAAAAATACTGTTCAAGCGAGAAGAAAATTGTCAGGTGTGTATAAAGAAGATGCATTAACAGAACGACAGTGCCAAAATTGGTTATTATTATTGATTTCGATCACTACAGAATTTTTTAAACGGTAAAACCTTCACTTTAAACGAGGAGGCGAAAATTCACTTGCATCAATTTTTTTTCAGCAAAGAACAAAAATTTTATGAACGTGAAATTATGTTACTGTCAGAAAGATGGTAAAGTATATTGCATTTCCATTTTTAATAGAATAAAATATTTATTCACTATAAGAAAATCGTATTTCGTTTCTTCGGAAAAAAAAAACGAAATGACTTTCCGAACAACCTAATAAATTAAATTAAGTAGAAACAATTGATAACTAAATAACAAACTAAACTTAAACGAAATTAAATAACCAAATGGTGAAACAATGGAACAGCTAAATAGTCAAATGACAAAACTGTTAAATGGTGAAATAGCTAAATAGTTAAGTATAGCAGTATAAATAATATATGTATAATGCAAGGAATAAGGTATAATTAGAATTTTCAATTCTTTTCAACCTGGTTTTAATTATCACGGATAATTATGACGAAAAAATGACGGTGTGGAAAGCTCATTTCTATGCTAATAATGTTTGATGCACGTTCTTTTATTTTTGATTTCGAGTGGTAGCAATTCGTACCTAATTTTCATTTATGAATTCTAAATAGACCGAATTTTATGTACTCTTTATTTTATTTGAGGTAAGCGATATTGAATGTATCACTATTATTTGTTACTTTTAAACTAAAAATTGTGAAAGCTATTTTGCTTCTGTCAAATTATACTTTGATATTATGACTTAGCAAAAACTATGTTTTGCTCTAAGGTCCTTTGTCTGACCAGTATGAAACGAATTTGCATTTCTCTCAATATTTTATGGTAATTATACTTTTATAAATTATTAACAAATAATTTTCATACAATAACAAAATTTTAGTTTGTAATGAAATCCTAAAATTAAATTCAAAATTGTTCCGTTAATTGGTGAATTAAAGATTTGTTGATAAATTATTAATAAATTAATAAATTAGTAATATATTAATTAGCAAATTAATCATCAATGGTTAGTACTTCCTTAATGACAAGATTCATGTTCTTAGCTCGTTATCACAATTAAATTAGGAAGTAAAATAAATCATGATTAATGTATGGCATAATTGCATTGTATGCAATCACATTTGTATTATACACATATCATTGATTACAAAAGAATTTATAAGGCATATTACGCAGATGACAGTTTACGGAAATTTCGTCGAATACAATTCACGAAATCACAATTCAACGAAACAATTCGGTGAAAAATACAATTCGCCGAAAAACAGTTCATCCAAATACAATTTAACGAGATACACAATTCACCAAATACGATTTATCGAAAATCAGTTTCCTGAATAACAATTCACCGAGAGCCAAAATTTATTGAAAATACATATTTTGCGTATACCATTAATCAAGTGTATTATGCATGAACAAGTTTATACTCGAAGTCCTCAGATTTAATCAAACATATAACGTACATTAACCTACTCGTATTGTTCATAATCTAACTCAAACGTGATGTAATTGAATTCAATGTAATCTACAGTATTGTAACACCTAACATAATACATATAAACTAATCTGACTTAATCTATCCAAATTCAACATAAACTAATCTGATTTAATCTAACCAAACCAAGTGCAGAATTTGACCTAACGTAATTTAATTTAAACCAAATTAATTTACTGTGGAAATATTCCTTATAATAAAAGACAAACTAATATCAAATAATAACCGAAAAATAACCTACGTAATAATAGGTTAGGATATCCTAACCTAATTAAACTTAACATAACTGGACCAGACCTAACCTAACACATAACCTAATATTAAAAAGCTAACCTTATTATGTATAAGGTGTAATAAGCAATAATATAATAGTATCCAGAGTTGTAGACACAACTTAAACAATACTTTAATTACGTTATATTTATTTACATTTATTTTCGTATTGCATTGTTCTCATTTCATTTTACCAATTCACCAAAAAATAGTATCCTATAGATATTCTAACCTAATTAAACTTAAAATAACTGGACCAGACCTAACCTAACACATAACCTAATGTGAAAAAGCTGACTTTCTTGTATATAAGGTGTAATAACCAATAATATCATAGTACCCAGAGTTGTAGACACAATTTAAGCAATATTGTAATTACGTTATATTTATTTACATTTATTTTCGTATTGCATTGTTCTCATTTCATTTCACCAATTCACCTAAGAATAGCAAGCCGAATTTTGACTTTAGGACATTGAATAATATAGAAATGTTTGTTCGTTTCAGTACACAGATCTTAGTTACACAACGTATCCGAATTTATCGAAGATGGTGTTCACTATATTCATGGTCCTGGTGCCTATACTACTCCTGAACATGCTAATTGCCATGATGGGCAACACTTACGCACACGTGATTGAGCAAAGCGAGAAGGAGTGGGTGAAGCAAGTAAATATCTGTTAAGCGATATAATTAACTCGTGATTTCGAGGATTGACGTGTTAAATTGCTTGCTACCTTTAGTCCATGTACCTAGTGTCGATGCCAGGAATGGAATTACTTGGGGAGGTCAAAGTTACTCACATTAATATTCGGACACTGCTTGTGTATTCATTATTGTATACAGGAAGAAATGATTCATGTATCAAACTGCTTATTTTACAAAAATATGTATCATTTATTATTTGTGAAAGTATACCGGTGTTATATTAATGAAAATACATTTCACATTGTGTGAAAATACATTTCATTTAAAATGATTTATTCGACTAAATATTGAAGTTAAAAGACGTCGTTAATGCATTTTTAATCTGGAATAAATTTCAGTGAAATATATAATATAATTTCTAAATTAATTTCTTCTATACAAATCAACAAACACAGGAATGGTACTGTGTATGAATATTAATGTAACATTATATGTATAGTAGCTTAAATCGTTCTAGTTCTTATTTTGGATTGCGATAAATTTGATTCAACTGATTCTAATAAATTCCGTACATGTTTTAATAATAGTAAAGTATCCAATATGTTTGTAAAATTTTATTGCATGTAAACTGTGGATGTTCATGCATTGGTATAGCGAGGCAGAATGCAAATAAATAACGTAACCTGTGGATTAAACAATTTATGTTTACTTTGCAGAATTTGATATATCATAAATGCATACATTTCGACAGTTTAATCGTGTGCATGTAGTTGCAATAGATAAAATCACATAAATAATTCAGTGAACGATTTCCAGTTCATGAAAATGATTGGTGCCATTGTATACTTCAATAAAGATGTTTTGTTAATGTGAAAGGACGGAAGAGTTGTTAGACAATTTAATCAAATTATTATTTTTGAGAAATATAATTAAATTATTAAATTTGGATAATTGAATAAAATTATTAAATTTAGACAATTCATTAAATTATTAAATGACAATTTAATGGAATTATTAAGTTTAGAAAATTTAATACAATTAGTAATATCTTTGGCAACGCCTGCTTTTACTATAAAAAAATGCAAGAAATGTTTTGAGGTCTCAAAGAATCTTTTTACGAAAACATATAATGTGATAAAAAAAAAACTTAATAAAAAATATAAACAAATTGTTATATTTAAACATACTTTTTGTGTTCTTATCTTCATTTTCTTTTGTTCTCGTCTGCAATCTGTTCTATTTTCCATCCTCCTTGTATTGAAAATACTTAAATATAGTTAATAAGCAAAGCACAAAAACGGCTGAAACGTAAAACTTTTATTGAACAATGTTATTTATAAATAAAAGCAAAGTCTCACGGATTTTACGTCTATAATTTGTAAAATGTTACAATATACATTTTTTTACATGAAATGCGTGAACACAATTATCGTGCCATCATATGGTAATAATTCTATCCGGGAAAGTTATTGTTACAATATTTCGCTTAATTATGTCTTTGTATATTGTATGAATAAATTTCATTCCAAATTTCTTGGTAACTATTAAAATATGCCCTGATCGATACAATTAGTCTAACTTTTTAACGAGTTTCCTTCAGCACTTTAAGTAAGGTGAAAGACAATTTTGTTTTCAGAAACTAAATTATTATATAATTAATATCAAATACGTAAGTATAAATATTTTTGCAAGAAAGTCTAACAACTAAATCCTTTCTTATTTACAAAATTTTTCAAAATTACGTTTAACTTGAAATTATGTGTAATTTCTTATTTTACGAAATTTTTCAAAATTAAAATATTTACATTGAAATTTTGCACATTTTTGAAATTTGGAAATTTTGCACATTTTTCTATTTTACGAAATTTTTCAAAATTGTAAGCGTTTAGATTTAAATTTTACATAATTTTGTATTTTATAAAATTCTTCAAAATTGTAAGTGTTGAAACTGAAATTTTACACAACTTTTTATTTTACGAAATTTTTCAAAACTTTAAATGTTTCAATTGAAATTTGACACGATTACGAAAGACGTAAATGTTTGCATAAAAATTTTGTACAACTTTTCATTTTACGAAATTTAAAAAAAAATATAAGTATTTCGATTATAATCTTATACAATCTTCAAGACATATATGCTTTCTATTTTCATTAAATTGTCATATTCCGTTGTTCGATATTGTAAATACTTCAATGTTGGGTAATTAAAAATTTTTTTTCGTGATGCCTGAAACATTCTGTAAAATTATTAGAACTATGTAATTGTTTTCAGTGGGCGAAAATCGTGGTCTCTCTGGAGCGAGCAGTATCTCAAAAAGACGCTCAGAATTATTTGCAAGAATACAGTATTAAATTAGGACCTGGAGATGACCCGAACAACCCAGCGTCGGAGCAACGTGGTGTTCTGGTGATTAAAAGTAAATCGAAAACCAAGGCAAAGCAACGCAAAGGTGCTGTTGCTAACTGGAAGGTGATACATTTTTCCTTTCATTTTTCTCTTTGTTTTGCTGAATATTTAATACATATAAAATTTCCTTGAAACTATTCTCCTTTGAGAAATTCTTTAAAACTCTCTTAAAAAGTTTACTGCAATAGGTTATTTATATTTAGCATATAAATGACGCAAAGAGAATTGCACTTAAATCAAAACGAAAATTAATAATATTTAAAATAACAAAATATCACAAACATCATGAATAATTTTTTTTCAGAAAAATCAAATAAATGACTTACTTATTTAATAATTAATTTTTTGTACAGTCTCTATCGCTCTCTTTTATCTACTGCCAAACTAATTTCTTAATTTTATTTTCCATAAAATCCTTTTGTTTCTTTAAGTTCTTTTAATTTCACTCAAATTTTCGATATTTCTCGTTGAAATTGCTCCTCAGACTTCTACGTAATAAAATGTTAAAGGTGCAAATTTCTACGCATAGTTATTGTGAAAGAGGATGTTCTTATGTGCATAGTTTTCTTATTTCAGAGCCAGTTATAATTGTTTCCATTTTCTGAAATAGCCTTTCATAGCAATGGTTGGATTTCGTGAAAACAGAATGAATTATTTTTCGTATGTTCCACCAAACGCAGACAGGAAAACGTTCAGACATTGATATTTTTGTTTTGACACTGACTTGCTTTAATGAAAGGTCATTCTTAGAGCATTCATCTGTCCATCGTGTTTCTTTCGAGACAAACAGCATAAAAAAATTATGAATTTTGTAAGTAGGTTGTATTGAAAACTTTTTTAGTTCAAAAATATGTCGCGACGTAAAGAAGTATTCTTGCAATGCAAAAGATGGGCATTCAAACCTATCACTATTATTTATTTTTTGCGATTATTTTATATTGTCCGAAATGTATTTAGACATTTAGATATTTTAGAATCTATTCAAATTGAGCTAATAATTAAATATTTATATTTAATAAATAATGATTTATAATAAAAAACTTCATTTTTGGTATTACCTTTCTCTTGGAAGATTATTTATTTTTAAATATTGTTCAGTACTTGCATTTTTAAATTGAAGTTGAAATATGTTTACCATAAACAATTTAATATCGAATAAGAATTATTAGATTCACTTTTGTTGCCAGTATTATTTTACTTTCTGTACTTATGAAAATACTTCATCTTCAAATTAAGATCGTCATCTGTTAAATTACTTTCTCATTATCAACTAGAATTGTTATTACATTACGAAGTTCTTCTTCCATTAAAGTAGTCCATTTAGCAATTTCCGCAAAAGTCTCCCACGATAAAATTGTTAAAGTTGGAAATATTAAAGTTGTTGAAAAAACGTTTTCCTCTGTTGTATATTTAATACCGCATTTAAAATATCACGTTCGTACTTTTGTTTAAAAATATGAATGCGAAATATGTTTGCAAACGAATAATTTTAAATTTTATTTAAATATTTATGCATATTTAAATTTCTACTTTTTAAATTATAAATCTTGGCCATATCTGTGAACCTGACGTAGCACACCTGTTGAAAATTGCGGTGGTAGGCGATTGTTTGAAATTTCACCACCATTTCCGTCATTTAATATTGCCATAGAGCGTCCATTTTCAGCTGCCGCAACAATTTGGTTTAGGAACGCTGCGCATTTTAAAGGAGAAAATATAATTGTTCCTTTAATTCATGATCTATTGCACGCAACTCGTGCATTCTCATTTTGATTAAACTTTGTTTGGTTCACATTTTTTAAAACTCTTTTGCATAATAGTATTCGACATATACAGACAAAGTATGATTATTTTGACTGTCGTAATCTATTAGCTCACAAGTTATTGTATTTATTCAATATTTGCATTGTATATTGTATTTATTAAATTCCGAAAAGAAGTTTAAGGAGTGTGACTGGCGGCGGCCATCTTGTTTGTTTACATCATCGTCTGTCTCACTTGTGCACCTTCGAAAATTCGACTTTATTCAGTGTAGAGTATTTATTGCTGTCTAAATACTCAACCAGAGCACCCTGTAGTGAAGTCCACTGATGGGTGCTGTACTCGTAAAAACTTCATTTTCGCAATATTCGAGCGTCAAAGTCGAATCTACGAAAAACGAGTCGTCTCTTTCATACCAATGCGATGTGCGAAGGAGACGAGGCGATTTCGTAGATTCGACTTTGACGCTCAAATATTGCGAAAATGAAGTTTTTACGAGTACAGCATCCATCCGTGGACTTCACTACAGGGTGCTCTGGTCGCTTTAGTCAGTAATAAATACTCTATACTGAATAAAGCCGAATTTTCAAAGGTGCATAAGTGAGATAGACGCTGATGCAAACAAGCAAGATGGCCGCCGCGGGATACTCTCCTTAAAGGAAAATGATGCTGCAAGACGAAGTTTAATCCTCATTTTAATAGTTTACTGAAATATGTTGTTTCAGAATGTTAATTTACATTTAAGTACGTTGAATTACGAATCCTGTACAACTTTCGAATGTCAATAGTTAAATTTTGCTGAACTATTCCTAATGAGTCGTTAACTGATTAGTAAAACGACAGAATAGAGATTCATTTGTCGAGGACTTAAAGACTTGGAACTTTTGAAACCGTTACTACATCAGAGTCTTAATATGTAATTATACTTTCATTCCACATTTGATATTGTATAACACGGATCGTTTTACATGCGCTGTCATCTTTTCTAAAGATGAACAGCCTTTCTGAACGTATCTTTCAGCAGCTTTCAGTTTAAGCTCGCATAAAATTCAGAATGATTGTTTCCATTACATTCTGAAATTCTTAAAGTTTACATGGATATTCTCTTTATTACACAAAATCAATCAGTATTGTTATTTTGGCTTTTATAATTCCAAAAGGCTTTTTTTATTATCTTTACTGTAATTTGGAACAACTTCATGTTAAACTTTTGCTAGTTTGTAGGAATTTTCGTTTGATATTTAGCGATAAAGGTATATTGTCAATTTTCTGTATGCAGTTGAAAATACTTCAAATTTTTCCAATTTAGATAATTTTCAAGTAGAAAATAAATTAATAAATGCTCAATTTCAATTCGAGTAGTTTTAAATCAAGTTGTACATTAATGACTGATACAGATTTTGAGTCATTTTTTTGCCAGGACGAGGAAACTCATCTTTTCTTAAAATTTTGGCTTGAAAATGGAAGTAAACTGTGCTCCAGCTTTTCACCTCTTTACGTTATATTGAAGGAACCTACAGGATCATTCGAGCCACGTGTGGAGGAAACTCTGTTTAAATTCGCTACATTTATGTTGCAGTCTCAAAGTTAGGGAAACTTACAGCTCAGCAATCCAGAAGTTGACTTTCAGGAATATTTATTCTGAATTCTGAAAATAATAGCATTTTATTGTTAGATTCATGGATAACCTTAAGATTTACACGAAGTCTCGCTAAAAATAAGGACAATGAAATTTTAAATATGCTAAGAAAGATAACTAATAAGCCAATGAATCAACAGATCCACGATAACTTTAGTACTATTAAAATATATAGAGTGTTCCATTTAAGTTGACATTGTAAAAAATCTCGAAGACGTGAGATTTAAGAAAAATTCTCGATGTTTACGAACACCCAAATTAATTTAATCGTAATTTTTCACATAACTAGCACCTATGTTGGTTTCTTCAACTTCTTCAATAAAGTAAGCTCTGATAATACTGAACTCACTAAAATATAAATTGAAATGTATATTTTACTATATTCCGAACTTTATTTTTCAATAATTGCTACTTTATTTACATTTTTATTTTAAGCGTTAATAAAACCAATATAAAATAAATGTTTTCAAAAATTAATTGTTTGTTTTTTTTTTTTAATAAAATTCGTTGAGAAAATTTAGTCGAAAAGGTAAAATGAAAACGTTTAATTTTCAGCATGCAATTTATTGCTTCAGGCGTTATTTTACAAATGGTATTTCCAGTGTTGATTACTTCAGTAACCTATTCAATCAAAAGTTCAATTTCACTAATTTCATTAATATACAGCATACGTAGGTAATCAATACTAAAGTGCCTTTTTTGAAAATACAACACGGGGTTTTTCGTAACAAGTGTAATTTCCTGAAAGGGGTTGTACCTAAGTCGATTCTGAACTTTTCCTTTTGCGATGCATTTGAGAACCAGGGAATTTGGAAACTTGAGAATTTACGAATTTACAATTTAAGAACAATTTTAAAACTTTTGGATTTAGGAGTATAGGAGCTTTGGAATATTGACAATAGAATTACTGTCAATAAAGATAGAGATACGAGAATCTAGGGATTTGGGGGTATAAGAATCTGAAGAAGAAATTTTGAAATGCGAGAATTTCGGCACGTTAGAAATTGGAACCTTGGGAATTTGTGAATCTAGGAACTTGCGAACATTGGGATGTTGGGAGTTGGACATCAATAAATGTGGGAATCTTGGCATTTGCCGGTATAGAAATGTAGAAGCGTAGAAGATTTGAAATATGAGAATATCGAGACCTAGTTATTTAGGAACTTGGTTTAGGAAGATTTGGGAACACCACAATTTAGGAACTTCAAGATTTAGAAACCTAGGAACTTTGGGAGTTGAACATCTACTGGTATATTTTCTCTTCGACCGACTTCACACGCTATCGTTGGCTGATTTTCGTTAATAATTGATAAACGAAACCTCAAACCTCATTTTCGCAGAGGAAAATGTTGTTTAACCAGTTAAGTGTGTTTGACGACTATATCCGTCATGGAGATTTGGCAGAATTTTGTGTCATGGCAACTATATCCGTCGCGCGTCAAATTTTGCTACAATTTGATATTTAAATTGTAATTTTGGCGAAAACTAAATTATATTCGTAAATTGTCATGTGTTTAAAATGTTTAGAGGTCAACACGAAATGAAATAAATAAATAAAAAATGTAAATGATTTGAGATGGATTCATAAATTTTTCAGAGCTAACTCGTCATTGGTTGATTATTGCGACACACACTGGTGCACGCTTTGCAAAAACATTGCCACAGTTAAGTGGTTGAAATCACCTCTTGTGTAACACCCTACCAAGAGTTACACTAATTGTAAGACTCCCTGTATAATGATTAAGTTTCGATATAATTTCGATTACCTTTCAAAATCTAAACAAGGTTTTAAATATGGTAAACTTTGACCGGTAAAATTTACAGAAAACTGGACTTTATGTTGATATTAAAAGGGGAATATTAATATCAAAATTGATAAATATTCAATTTGTAATTCTTCAATTCGAATAAATTTCAATTTGAACTTGTTAATCCATCAAGAAAGTATAGGAATATGGAGTGGTTATTTATTTAAAGTAAAATAGAAACTTATAAAGGACATGACCCAAGTGTTACACGCTAATTTTGATGAAACTTTTATATGTTACAGAACTTGAAAAAAATGTTTGACATGCATTGTTTCATGTGTGAATATGTATTTTGAAGTGGAAAAAAATAATCCTTAAAGTTGGGGTTGAAAAAAATATTTTCACAAATATTTCGGAAACTATTCGGGACATCACCCAAGCGTTACACACCAATTTTAATGAAACTTTTATATGTTATAAAACTCGAAAAAATATTTTACACGTATCTTTTTTTATCGACGAATATCCACTTTGAAGTGGTGAGAATAATCCTTTTTGGTGAAACAGTTATTTTCACAAATATCTCGAAAACTATTAACCCTAGATAAAAAATTAAAAATATAAATTTTTCCGTTTTTGAAAGCTAATAATATGGCGTAGATGGATTTTTTAAAAATTTGTTTGTTTAAGAAATATGTTGAAAATTAATATTGTATTGCAAATTATTTTAATGATATATTGAACTATTTTAATTAAATTTGAACAAATTTCATAAATGTGAACTATGGGTTTGAACAAAAAATGTAGATAAATTGAAACTTTTACTTTTTTTCGTGCAAAAAATATTATTATGGTTTGAGTTATACGCACACTTTATACCTTCTGTTCGGTGCACGACTGGTTTCTATACATAATATTCTGGAAAGTGTATTATATTACACTTTTTATACTAATTTATTTAAAAAAAGAACTTGGAGGTACATAGGTGCCCCTATAAAACATGAGACGCGAGATAAATACATATGTATTCGTTTGCTCGGCGTTATGAGCGCGTACTGAGGGTAGTATACGATGTCCAAAAGATCTAAAAGTGTTAATTGTATTTCTGTGAAGTATAATATCATCACGATTAATTTAGATTACGTGCAATTAAAGAAGTTGTTTCGATTCATTGAAAACTGCCCTACATCTGTGAAAAACATAGTAACTCTGAAAATACAATTTCTTTATAATTTTGAGAACTAAGACTTTTATTTGGAATTGATTTTCTAAACTACTATAAACTGTAGTAAACGTAAAAAATGTAATGAAGTTCTGTATTATAAAATTGAAACGGATATTAGTATTTGCTAGCGCATATTTTGTAAAAGTGACATAGTTTCTATTTGAATGAAACTAAAGTCAACGGGATTATCAAAATGTTCCGGTCTGTTACTGATGTAACCACACCGTAACCATGCGTACTCATGTTAATATATAACCATACAAACAGTTTTTTATACCTAGTGTAAGACGAGGAAGAAAATGATTGAAACGCTAACTGAGTTTGGTTTCAAAAATACTATACTTTTTCTATAAGCCGATTCCGTGGGCGAAGTAGTGTTCTCGAGAGAAGAATGTCCTCCAAAGGTCTCTAAACGAATGCCCTCTTCCCGTTCTGCGAGGTTTCCTAGTCCCCGCGAAACTTGAGGCCCCAGGATTGTTTTATGGCCCGGATGTCACAGCGTCAGGCCCTTACCCCGTACGCGATGGTCGTCGTAGGACGGCCATGTGCCCGTCGTCCCTGCTTTATTAGGATGGGTCACTGGGAATTTTCTAACAAGAGGTGCGGGCAGTTGATTATGAATTAAAGAACGCATCTTTATAATTGTGTCCCGTACGTATAAATTACTATGTAAATTTAACGTAAGTAAAAGTGTAGGATATGAGAGTGAAGGGGGAAACAAAAATATATTTAATGGGAAAATTAATAATTTATTTAAGAATAAATACATACACAAAGAAGAATAATACTTCGAGCGGCACTGCTATCCATGACTGTTTCCTTCAGGAGCGCAAAAATACGACTGACTCCCAGAATTTTGTAGGTTGCAACCCGTCGTCAATAAAAGACTATTGTTTGCTTTATGGAAAAAACCCACGGTCATGGTTACATTATGGAAAAAAACCTACGGTAACGGTTACATTTATGGAAAAATCCTACAAAAGATTTGGTATTTTTTGCGCAAAATTTTTCCACATTCTATAACCATATACATCCGAAGATTGTATCAATCCAGTAGAGTTTTTGGCAATGCTTAAAGCTGTCAAAGTTTTATTTGCTGAAGTAATATTTCTTATCAAAATTTGATCGTATCCGGTCCATGGGTTCAGAGAGTAAGACACTATTTTCGAACGATTTTCGGAAAAATACTGCTTCTAACCATTGTTTGAAAAGATCTTCGTTTCATTTATTTGATGTCGATACTCTTATAACAACATTAGACTCCGTCACCATCCTACCTAAGTCTGAAAATATTTTATTTTGTTATAATTTCGAGAAGAGTGATTTTTATATTGAAACGATATTCTGAATTATTGAGAACTGGTAGTAAATATGAAAAGTGTATATGTAAATTACTAAAACTTCACCGTGTGTGTAAATTTTCGGCGAATTGTTTGTGCCCATTATGCAGTTGATTAATTCAAACGAGAACTGCGTGCTAAATTATAATAGGATCAGTGCGATATTATTGTCCGTCAAATAGAATAGTCACATCAAATAGTAACGCTCAGAATTAGCTGTAATCCCGTTCTGGATAACGTTAATTATTTCCATAGCCTTCTCTACAGTAATGTAAATGTCAATTACCCTATTATCATTGATTTAATAATAGTGCAAGAGTTAATGAGTTTAAATTTATTTATATCTCATCGAAAATATTAAACAGTTATATCTTTATTGTATAGGTTTTTGAAAGCGTAAAAAGCTTGCACAACTTGATGCAACATTAGTTTAAAATAACACACATACCACATCAGTTTCAAATATAACATTTGATCAAAATTAATACATGAATATTTCGTTCATGGTTTTATTAACACTATTTCTGCCATGATTTTATGTATACCTATTTCGACCAAATTAAATTAAACATTTAATTTATTTCTTTCTTAAATTTTCAATTACTTTTTTCTAAGTCACAAACATTTTTACACTTTTGTTTAATATAAATACATTTAACCAGTTAACTGTGGCGATCTTTTTGCAAAGCGCGCACCAATGCGATCTTTTTGCAAAGCGCGTAACCAGTTAACTGTGGCGATCTTTTTGCAAAGCGCGCACCAATGTGTGTCGCGATAATCAAGCAATGACGAGTTAGCTCTCAAGAATTTATGAATCCATCTCAAATCATTTACACTTTTTATTTATTTATTTCATCTCATGTTGACCTCTAAACATTTTAAACATATTACAATTTACGAATATAATTTAGTTTTAGCCAAAATTACAATTTAAATATCAAATTCTAACAAAATTTTACGCATAACGGATATAGTCGTCATGACACAAAATTCTGCCACATCTCCATGACGGATACAGTCGTCAAACACACTTAACTGGTTAATTATAATGAATAGTATTCATTGTATTTATTAACATGCTTCGTTTTGTGTTATGCCTCCTTTTCATATTATAAAACGTACGATTTATTCTTGCTGAAATTTCCACTACCTAAACTAAATTCTACCTAACCTTCCACAAAATTATATAAACTGTTATGACGTCCATGACATAGCTACATAACTATAAACACCACAATCATAACTATCACTTGTACACTAATAAATTGAATTAAGTTGAAATAAGTAATAAGTTGAACAACAAATTGAAATAAGCTAATCATTTTTCATATAAGTATTTTGAAAACAGTTGATAATATAGCAGTTAAATTTTCGACGAATTATAATGGACTTATTAATGTCTGTTCATAAATGTAGCTTATGGATAAACAATGATCTATCTTTCCCTATTTTTTTATGTTTACAGCGTGTCGGAAAAGTGACGATCAACGAATTAAGAAAACGTGGAATGACGGGAGAAGAGTTACGACGAATAATGTGGGGTCGAGCCTCTTTTTCGACACCAGTTAGAGTAAGGTAATAATGATATTGAAATCTTTTATACTTTATATTAAAATATTGAGTTGAAAACTTTTGTAGTTTCTAAGAAAAGATTCGACTGTTAACCTAAATTTTGTATTTGAATGTCTCCTTTATCTATGTAATCGATTGTACCTCATTTATATCTGTACATGAAATCTAATTGTACAACGTATTACAACGTTACAAATATTATTTAATCTGTTAAAATTACTCTGATAAAAAATACACAATCATTTTACTTAACATTACAATTTATCACACAACTCAAAAGTAATTATATTAATAGTTATTATTTTATTGAAAGATTATTAATTGTTTTATGAAAACATTATTTATTTTTCTCTTTTAATCATGTAGTTAATTATAAATAATCATAATAATTTCTCTACTTAAGTATTATAAAATATTAACGATAAGATCGGAAAAATTATAGTTACAATTAGAAAAGCATAGTCATCTATTTCTTTATTATATTATCGAATATTCTTTTTCTAAACGCATAAATATTGCAGCTATTACAGACTTTTAGTCTAACTTGAGTTCGAAGTTTACAGTCGAAACGTGAGTATACCGTGAATTACAGGTTTTATCGATAAAAATGATTCATGGCACTGAATTTCCGTGTTAGATACTAAATAAAACATATTAGGATATAGCTGTCATTAAATATTTAAACACTTCGCTTCGAGAAATGGTGCAGTAAACTTTCGGTATATACTGCGATTCAAAACTTTCAAAGTAATTATATCTGCTTATTAAACAAGCAATACTCTATTAATTATAATTGCAAATTTTAACGAAATGTATTCCAAGTAACTTTGTAGGAAATAAGTTATTTCCTAACCTTACTTTTTATAAAATATTTATCTTTTATTTCCAATATTCCTTGTTCAAAGATTAAAAGAAGATTTTCACTAAAGAAGGGTAAAATATCTTAAAGTAAAATGAAAAGCTTATGAATAATGCTTTCGAGGAATGACAAATACTCAACATTTATTTCTAGGTTATGAAATATAGAATTTATCTTCATAACAAATTGAAGTGAGGAAATAATATTCCATATTTAACAAAGTTGATTGTAGTGAGAAGATAATTGCACCATATTTAATAAAGTTCACCGTAGTGAGGGAATAATTTCCCCATATTTAACAAAGTTCACTGGAGTAAGGGAATAATTTCCTCATATGTAACAAAGTTCAGTGCAGTGAGGCAAAACTGTAATATTAATCGTTGCAGACCCGGTTATTTCCAGAATGAAAAGAACCCAAAAACCGTGTGTATGACAAATAAATGAAAAATACTACATTTTGAACTGAAAAAGTTATTAATGTAATATCAATTTCTATTCTTGACTCTAAAAATTTACCAACATATAAATACATTGTGTTCAAAAAAAGTTTCATAAAATGTTTTTAAATTTAAAACAAAGTAAACGTTTCATTATAATACACAGAGATATCTTTTTGTTATTTTTAAATTAATATTTGTCATTTATAATAATTTATATACTAATTTTTCATTTAACTTTGCCATTTATAACAGAAACCTTTATAGTTTACAAAATTCGGTTTCTATAGTTCCTTCCAAAATTTTAATTCAAATTTTCAACAATACATCTATTTAAAATATGGATATTCAGTTTATTTATTAATTTGAACAAATGTATTAGAATTGTTAATGTCGTATAAGGTTTAAACACGTTTCACTAAAAGTTTTAATTAAATACAGAAGAAAAATTGCTTTTAAAGTTGCGGATATGAGACTAAAATTTTTCGGTTCGTGGAATACACGTGTCCATGAACACCGTGAATATAAATTTCCAATCGTCGACCTTGCACGGATGATTCAGACCCTGCCACAACGATGCTTTTTATCACCTGTGTAATTGCTTGCCCGTTTGCACTTCTAGCAACATTAACTTTCCGAATGGTCTGGAAATTTCAAGCGAGATATGCAGTAATTTTGGAACAATATAATTGTTGACTTTATTGGCTTAATATCACTTTATATACAGTAATATTAAATAACTAATATTAAATATTATTAATAATTCTTAATTTAATTTTAATAACTTTTATTTTAAATATTTCTGAATTAAGTAATTTTAAAAACTGAGCATATCAGTTATGTAATATGTGAATTAATTAACCTATCAATTACGGAATTTTTATTTTTGATACTTTGGTGTATTAAGGTTAAAAATTGAATTACGAGACGAAATTTAGGTTACTTTAGGTTACTTCTAATTGAAAAATATAAAAAATAAAATGGGATATTATTTTTTAATTATCAGGTAAAATGATGTATTAGTAATCTCACATACGAATATACTAAAAAAGCAAAAAATTCGAATAAAAGTTTAGAGGCGATAAAAGATGATTTTACCGCATGGGCTGGAAATTTGTCAGGCAACATTGAAACGAAAAATAATTTTGAAAACTACAATGTAAGTGTCTACTGAATACACACTTTATTTAATATAATTCTACTGCAAGTGATAACATTCAAATCTCTTTTTTAGGGAATGCGATAGCAAATGGGTTAATCATACGTGTATAATAAAATTATTTAATTTAACTATCTTAATTTTGTAACAAATTATTTACTACATGCAAAGAAATTTTAACGAAAAAGAACGTAAAATGCAATTACTATTTTGTTGCTTCATATTTTTGTGATAGTAGTCATTTTGGCTACATGACATGAAAGTTAATTAAAAATGTTTTTAACAGGATCCTAAAAAGAAAGTCGCTGTTCGTCGTCGCCTGTCGTTTCCCGAATTTCGATGAAATATCAAATATTACGTGTATAAGTATTAGATTTTAATTTATTTAACTAATTTCTTTTTAATAGTCTTATACGATAATAACTGATATGGCTATGAGAAATGAGATTAATTCTAATATTAATTCTACGATGAATAAATACAGTGGTATTCGTTAAATTTTATTCTACAAAGGTTTTCAATACTAGTTATTTACGAAGATCTTGTAGAATAAAATTTATTTTACAGAGACTACATAATATAAAAAATTATTTTTGTTAATGTTTTGTAGATTTGTAGAATCTCACATTTAATATTCATAGTATTTATTAATTTTAAGTTGAGTAACTATGATGACATAGTTAAATGAATTCTATATAATTTGTTCCTTTCTTTCATCCGTATAAAATTAATGTAAGTTACATAAAAAATTACGTCGTTTTTTTATTGTTTGTTTATATGTTTCTGTATAAATTCAGCGAAAGTAATACGTACAACATAGTGACGTATAATAATTTAGCTTACAATTAAATTTTAATTTTAAATACAGGCTTAAATAGATCAAATTATTCTTTTAATGAAACAATAAGTATAACAAATTTAATTCTAAATTCAGTTACGTATAATTAAAGTCTGTGGAGGATTATATGATCCAAATGTAAAAATAAAGAATTCATACAATTTTTTATGTAAATTAAGCATTCTTGTTTGGAATTTATTTATTTTAGATTATGGAATTTATTGTTACTCTATCAATCATAAACTATAAATAATCACAGCTACACCACAGAACAGAATTTGAATCAATTACGAATGCGGAAAAGAAAGGTTGAAAACATAGTTTATCGGAATGTACAGTAATTAGCAATAATAATAATTTTTTAAACAGCCTATTCGTGTGGAAAAGCCAAGATAAAACCTATTTCATTCTTTCGTCATACTGTAAAAGTTATAAAGATACGTTTCAACGAATATGTTACTTAGTTTTATGCTTTGATGGTTTCTATTAGCTACTGGGAGGCCTAGGAAAAATGGAGGAGAGGGAGATGCATTTGCCCTTGCCTTACTAGAATTCTTTATAATTTATAGTGCCAGATGATAGAGAAGTACAAATATACAATTTTTCTTTACAGTCCAAATGTAGATGAACCTCAGGTTTCAGCGGTAACTGCTGGTTTTGGGGATGCATTAACAGCAGCACTGGACGTTATGGCGTTTGCCCATGACTTGGACCTCTCCACTGCCACAGAATCGATTCCTACTAATATTGACGTAAAACAATCGAAACCAAAGGTTGTCAGCAGCGAACAAACCAAATTAACGACAAATAATCAAGAAAAACCATCGATAACAGAAAAAGCTGCCACGGAGATCGCGAATAAACAAGTAAACGCTAAAGATGAGACCAATAAGAAACCTAATGAAGTTGTCGACGTTGAGAAAATGAATGTGAAGAATGCAAACAGTGAGTAACAATATTGTCATAAATAATATTAAAAATATTATTATTATTTTAAATGAAAGTTATTATTAAGCTATTTATTTCGAAAGCGGCGACTTGTGATTTGTTCGTTAACTGTACTCACATGTGCCTCTTGATGTTAATTCTTATAAAAAACATTTTGCGGTTAAGTATAGTAAGAGTATATGATAATTTCAGACATATAAATTTTCGCAGTCATTTTGATAGATGAAAAATTTTGAAAATGGCCTAAGTTCAATGTATTATTGATAATATCAACAACTACAGACTTTCAAATATCAGAACGCAGTGATGCTAGTAATTACAATTTATAACTGGAGGACTTTGCTGAGTCCATAGTCGCAAGTTGCCGGCTCAGTCGGTACGCCGGTTTCGGACTCGAGGTCGCACGCAATACAGATATCGCAAGGAGGAGGTAGAAGTGGAGGAGCTGAAATAATGACAGTTGCCCGATAGTGAAGTCAAACAATTGCAGATTCGCACTCCGTTCTTCCCTGGCTAGAAACCGGTAACTCGAGAACACGCTGCACTTCTTCGGCGGTTGGATGCCCTCGTCTCGTAACTGAGCTATGGCTTAGGGTTGATGGAATATGGAGTACGGGTGCGACAAATGAGCTGCAGATTCACACAGCCGTTTGTTTATCCTCCGTTGAAGGAAGGGGGTACAAAAATAGCAAAAGAGCGCTGGCAGAGTCACTTGTGAGTCGCCGATCGGTTCGATACACACGCTATCGCTTTACCGAACGCTCTCCGATGTTTATACTCACATCATAGCCTTATATATCGTTCAGGCACAGTTTCTTCGAGAATCGCAATCGCGGCAGTCTTCCTCTCCCGATAGCTCTCGGTGTCAGTGGTAAGAGTTCGCGCCAAGACAATACTTTAAGCCCCCCTCTTTTATGAGATGCGAACTTTAGAAACAATATTTTTCCTTTATTCTCGGATTCGGAAGGTTCATTCTAAGGCTCTATTTACAACCGACTTCTTTACCTACTCCTATCTATTTACAACACTTACAAGCTAACAAGGTACACAGTGTCGCTTACATGCTCGATCCTAACTACTTACAGGTTATGATTAACGCGGTATAGCTTACAAACTACTTAGAAACTACTTAAGTCTACAGGACCCTTGGAGGTCTGCACGAGCGACGATCCGTCATCTGTGGCGGGAGGGGGGCTGGGCTGGATGCGGACCCGTAGTTGTTGGGCTTTGACCCTTTTCATCGACACTGGTTGCCCATCTGGCAATATAAGGAAGGTGAGCCGGGACAGATCTACCATAAATTCTCCCCGGTGTTAACCGCTGTGGTTGACGTATCAGTGGCGAAATCTGGCGTAATGGTTGCGGGGGTCTGGTAGTTTAAGCGACCCGATCGTAGCGTAGGGACCCCTAGGTTTGAGGGGCCTAGCGAACTTGTTCTTCTTAGTTCGTGTATGGTCGGGGTTGGTGGGACTGGTGGCAGGAAGGTTTCCTCTACGGCTTATGGACCGGTGTTCCAGTCCTGAAAGCCGGATGTGCCCTGGACTGTCGCACGACTCTCCCGGTATGGCCGCTCGGTATGGCATTTTTGCCGGAGCTTGGTGGTGACCTAGTGCTGGGCGGCGGGAGACCTTCGTCGTCCCATCAGCTGGGCTACTGGCTGATCTGATGGAGGCGCTGGACGAGGTGCGTCTACCTATGGAGCTGGCGGCTTGGCTCCTGGCAAAGATGGTGGAGGCGTCTATCCGTGGAACTGCTGGCTGGGCTAGCTCCCCAGTGGTCTGCACGGTTGCAAATTTCGGGACGCCTGAGCGCCTTTTCGGTCGGTGGCAATACCTTCGGCGGTTGACCAGTGGCCCTGTGGCAACAATGATGGACCAATGAGCCGTCTTAACTTTTCGAATCCTTGGCCGGGCTTCGGGAGGTCGATGCTTTGCGCACTTTCCTAGTACCGTAGGCTATTCGTTGCTGCTTCTCTTTATTGCTCTTCGAAGTCTGTACGAGCAATGAGTCGAAGTCACGTAGCTCTTCGGTTTGTATTTCGACAGAATCGATGGTGGGATAGAGTTTCAGGTCCTGCAAATACGTGCGTAGTAGTCTTTCTCGTGGCCCCTGTAAATGTACTACAGTAGGCCTGTGATACCGCATGACGCGATATGGTCCCGCCTATTCAGGGGCTAGCTTGGCGTTGATCCCTTTTTCCGCGGAAGAGAGTGGGTCACATAATGCTGTCACCCATGGCAAGAGTCCTTTCCCACCGTTGCCGGTTATAATACTTGCTCTGGCAAGTGTAGATGCTTGAAAAAACACGACGGTTTGATGGCGTCCTGAAGGTGCTCGATTGCCTCCTGATGGCTGTGCAATCGCTAGTGGTCCGGTGGTGGCTGGTTTTTCCGACACACAAAGTTCCCGTTCGTAGTCGAAGTATGCTAGAGCGTACCCCATCCAGTTATGGTTAATGGTATTGTACGCGAACGCCAATTCCATGATTCAGTGATCCCAAGTATGGTAATTATTCTGGGCGTATTAGGTGATTATCGTTTTGACGATTCAATGGCTCGCTTTTCTCCATCGCAATCCTGTGTCAGGACGACCACCAAACCTTGGCTGCTGGTATCTGTCTGCAGAATGAACGGGCGGTCGAATTCCGAACATGGTAGCGTCGGCGTCTCAGCCAGTTGATGCCGCAACTTCTACAAAGCCACATCTTCTACAGCGGCCAAGTCTCAGCGTTGAAATTTCTAGAGCAGGCGGTTGAGCGGGGTTGTCAGGTCCGAGAACCGTAGTATGAATCATTTGTATCAAAACACAGTTCCCAGAAACTAGCACAGCGTCATCAGGTTAGTTGGGACCGAAATTTCTGTTATCGTTTGTACCTTCCCCGGGTCTATGCGTATTCCTTGGCCGGTGACGACATGCCCCAATTCGGTTTGGCCGAAGTGCCATTTTTCCGAGTTAGTGCGTAGACTGGCAGCGCAGACTCACTTGAAGATTGCCTTGAAGTTTGCTACATGTTCCTCGAAGGTTTTTCCGACGACGATGATATCGTCGAGATAAGCAAAGCTTCGTGGGGTCAGTCGAGGCTCGATAACCTTGTTTAGCAACCGCTAGACTTATTGTGAAGTCGGCCGTCCAAGGACGGACGCGACTATGTCACCTCGCCCTTACGAACATATGCAACCGTGCTTTTATCCACTCGGCAAAATCCAGGGCGTCGCACGACCGTTTTTGCGAGCGAATCTTTTGCTCACGGTACCGATCACTGTCGTTGACCGCGTTCACGGGGAATCACGGGGAGGCCGATTCGTTGCGTATAGCCTGTACGTACACCGTCTATCAACCATTAGAACGTGGCTGGAGTGAAGTGCAACCAAGGTGGCATCACCGTAAGTCCCGCACGTGAAAGCGGCGATCGCGAGTCTAGATGGACTGGGCCTCCTACAACTTCTCCAACGTGGCTTCACCAACGTGGCAGGGGGTAGGCATCCTTCTCGGTCTGTTGATTTGATCAACCTGAAGTTCGAGACTGCTGCTGTAGCAAAAATTATGCTGTGTTTTAATGCTGTGTATAATTATTATATTACAAGTTATGATGTTCATTACTAATAGTTTGTAATCGTTCTGTGTTTTGCTAATTATAATATTCAAATTTCGATTTCTGCGTATAGAAGTTTAATTTCTTAATAACTTAATATCTTAATATTTAAATATTAACACCCATTTTTTCAATAAAATTCTTTCAGAATTATAACATATGGCGATAATAATATGAAACTGAGGGAATTTTCTACAAATCTGTGCAGATCTATCAGAACATACCCGATTTGTGTTTTATTCATAATTTTTATTTGTACTTTAAATTTGAGTTAAAGCGATTGCAAATTTGAAAAAAAGCGCGCTTAACTCGTCCATCAAAAACTAGTACGTAAACACGCTTTCAATCCGAATCAGAAAAAATTTCATTGATTTACTCAGTGAACCAGTTTTTCACTAGTTTATAGTGCTATTGACTACTAAATCAGTGAATTTCACGTCGACCCAGCGACAGATGTAACGCCATTGACGAATCAGTGAAATATACTAGTACCACATCGTGGAGTCAATTCGAAACTGCAAGCAACTGCCACGCGAGCTATATAGTTTCAATCTTCTCAAGCTCAACTGGTCGACATAATGCTTTTCACGAAAATATTTTGCAAAGAATTACCGTTGAAAAGGAAAAGAAAAATCTAGTTCGTATTTCGTTCGAAGTTGCCATATTGAATGGACTGTAAAAATTCTAAATATGCTTCTTTTAAATTACATATTTACCAAATTATATTATGAAATCAATATATGTTTTATTTCAGAGTTAATCAGATGTCTTCGTAATCTTAATGTTACGACAGTAAACAGAGCTAGTATATCTTTACAAATTATCGGAAATTTCAAATAAATGCTATGTGAAACTATGAAAATTTCGCTGTTTAAAATGCTGCTACTACTACTTGTAAGAGCGAGGGATGGGATTTATGCTTGACATGACCATAGTCGCTTTCGACAGCCCCATTTTAATAGTCTATAAGTTTTATGTAAATCTAAAGTTACAGAAATTTAATTAACTCGACTTCTGTTAATTACACATAACTAATTCTGTTCCATACTCATGACAAACGAATAAATGAACATTATTTGTTATTGTGTTGTTCATTGTTTAACTGAAATTTGACGTAAGGGCTTCGTATTAAACGTTTACATTGTCCCGGCGCATAAGCACTTGATCATGATCGTGCTCAGCTGCTAGGCTCGAACCTTTTACTCTCGCTTCTAGGTGCGCTTAATCCTCGCGCTTTGATTGGTCCGTGTTTTTGCTTGATAATGCAAAACCGAAGCTCCAAACCCCATTTTTGGAAAGGGAAATCTTGTTCGGAATCACGTCCTCTACCACCCCTTTCCAGGAGTTACACGAGTTGTGAGACACCCTGTATATGATAGAATAAGCGTAGACACATCAGTAAAGA